AGGTTTTCTCAGGTGATGCCTTTGGACTTGAGCTATGGGCTTGAGAGTATGGCTATTGGCTTAAGAGCGTAGCCATATGCTGCATGGCAGATTCCCATGGTCTTTCATGGGCCTCCACACAAAGAGGCTTCTCCCAGCCACTGTCTGTGAGCTTGAGAACACAGCCACAGCTAACAGCACAGCTGCAGGCTACTTAGTATCTCTTCCTAGGGTTGGGGCAGTGAGTATGGCTCCCAGAGCTGGCGGTAAACATTATCTTCACCATGTTGGGAAACCTAACTGGGTAGAGCCAACAGTCAAATCGATGGTTTTGATCCTTGCCATGCCTGTCTATGAGTAAGAAGCTTGACACCATGCCTGGCTTTGCACTTAAGAGTTATTAGCAAAACATTTCTGATCAAGGAAGTGCCTCTCTGTGCTGATCTCACATTCCATCAGAACTATCTCATCAAACTGTCCTGGCATCGGTGGCTTTGTCTTGAGAGAAGTGCTACCTTTCTTTGAGTACAGTATCCATCCCCCTTTTTTGAGAAATCTCTATTGATTATAATTGGCAAGCAAAGTGTGAGCATATTTATGTTATACAAAGCCACATTGCAGTGTATATATTGCTACTCTCCCAACCAAGTTCATTAGCATATCCATTACCTAACATCCTTTATTTGGTTAAATTTTTGTGTGTATGTTTAATGAGAACATAAATTTCTGTTTTTCTTTTTCCTGACTCTATCTTCTCGTGCCTTATATAACCATCAGTATTCACACATTCACTTTTAGTGTTTCATGTTGTCTAGAAGTAACTCAATTACCTATCTGGCTCCTTTCACCTGTCTCAAAATTTTTATCTCTCTGAGAGTCCCCCTTTTCTCAAGAGGAAGAAAATTATTCGGTCTGCACTCAAATGTACTATCACAAACTACCACTTTCTTTTGGTTATAAAAGAAAATGAAGGAGAAAGCAGCAGGATGAGGCCAGCCAGGTTTACACAGTGAGTTCCAGGACAACCAGGGATACACAGAGAAACATTTTCTCAAAAAATAAAAAAAGGAGAGAGAGGGGGGAGGGGAAGCAGAAGGGAGAGGGAGAGAGGGAGAGAGAGGGAGATGAAGAGGGAGAGGGAGAGGGTGGGGAGAGGCAGAGGGAGAGGCAGAGGGAGAGTTTGAGAAGTCTGGTAGCTGGTAACCTTGCTGTGGTGTGAAACAAGCCCTAATCTGGGAACTAGGGAGACTAAGAGAGCCACAGTGGAAGCTGAGGTATTAAGCCCCTTTGCTACTCCACACCTGCCAGGTGAGGCAGATCATTCCAGATCACTGATCACTGGAGGGCATCCAACAGAGGTGAATGACAACAGCTGCCTTTGGGACACAGTTGCTGCTCTGGTTCTGCTTGTGAAACCTCCTGCATAGTATCTAGGCAGCCTATTCTAACCATGAGGATACGGAGACCCTGGGAGGTTTAGGTAAATGGTCACAGTCAAACTCTGCCATACTCTAGTATTTACAATTTAGTGGAATCATATCTCCTCTCTGATATTCTATAACTTGAAAAGGAGATATTTAAAGTAACTTGCTGTCATAATTGTCAGTTGTCAATTTGACACACCTAGGAAGAGGAATCCCCATTGAGGCATTTTCTTGATTGGTAATTGATATGGGAAGACATAGGTCACTCGGGGACCACACCATCTCTAGGTGCATGGGCATGGACTGCATAAGAAAGGGAGCTAAGTAAGCCAAGGGAGAAATCAAGTCAGCAGTGCTCCATGGTTTCTGCTTCAAGCTCCAGCCATGAGTCTCTGTCTTGATGATGCACAGGAAGTCAAGTTACTCTAATGACGCACTGTAACCCGTAAGTCATATAAGTCCTTTCCTCCTAAAGTTACTTCTGGTCATGGTATTTCATCACAGCAACAGCTATGAAATCTGGGACACTGGGTAACAACACATCTTCCTTTTGTTGGGTAATGGAAACAAATGAGAAGAAAAAGTTGTGTAGGAGTGTGTGTGTCTGTGTGTGTGTGTGCACAAGCGCGTGCGCATATGCACATGTATTCTGAACCGCAGAATATTTACTAGTTACCATGTCTTGGCAACTTAATTTCTCCTGGATGAAAGTCAGCTTTGCAATTACAGTTATGCCATCTTTTTTATTACTTTAATTTTAAATATCTTGCTTCACATGTCAATCCCAGTTCCCTCTCCCTCTCCCTCCCCTCCTCACGCACTTTCCAACCATCAGCCCCCAGCCTCCCACCCTATTCCCACTTCCTTCCACATAGGGGATATCCAGAGTCTGTCATTTCGCTCAGGGCAGGGTCCAGGCACTTCCCTAAGAGTTCGGGCTGAGAGAACATCCATCTTTGTGTTATGGACACACAAAGTCTGTTTGTATGCCAGGGATAAATACTAATCTACTGCCCAGGGCCCCATAGGTTACCCAGGCCTCCTCACTGACTCTCACCCTCAGGGGTTCTGGATCAGTCCCATGCTGGCCTCCCAGCTGTTGGTGTGGGGTCCAAGAGCTCCCCCTTGTTCAGATCAGCTGTCTCTGTGGGTTTTGCCAGTCCGTTATTTGCCAATTTGCTCATCGCTCCTCTCTCTCTGTCACTGGGTTCCATGGGTTCAGTTCAGTGTTTAACTGTGGGTGTTTGCTTCTGCTTCCACCAGTCACTGGATGAAGGTTCTAAGATGCCATATAAGGTAGACATCAAGGTCATTATCAGGAATGGGGATTTAAGGTAGTCTCTCCACTATTACTTAGCTTGCCAGTTGGTGTCATCCTTTTAGATCACTAGAGGTCTCATTGGTGCCAGATCTCTCTTCAAACCTATGACTCCCTCTATTATGGTATTTCTCATCCTGTTCTCCCCCTATTTTACCCCCCCCCACTCAACCTTCCTGTTCCCCCATGACCTACCCCCATGGCTCAGCCATTAAAGGCTAGGCTCACAACCAAAAATATACCATCTTTTTAAACTTTGTTTTACAGTATGAGAAGCTAATGTATCCAGGTGAAAGCACAAATTTAAATGTAGTGAAATCTTTACTGTGTTGTCTGGTAGAAGCTATACTTCCTTTGAAAAAAATCCTTTTAGAACACTAAATACTAAGTTTTACAAATAGGAACAAGATTTTCCAGACGATGTGGAGCAATGACTAAGGGAGCTTCTTTGTCTTCTACTCTTGGTTACAAGATACATGGATTTTCTGTTTAGGAAAAACAAGTTGAGTTTTTTTTCTGGTTGATGATTTTCTGTGTTGAAGAACATTTGTGAGTGCAAGTCTCAAATCCTTGAAGTATTTCTACTCAGTTGGCATACTGTATGAAACTTCAAAAGACAATTCTACTAGACTACTTGCTTCCAGGTGATGGGACATGTGTGTGATGCACGAATTCCATGGACACTAGTGAATTGCCTTACTTCATTTACTGCAATGTGACCTCCCTCTCAGAAGCACAGCTGTAATAAACATGAAAGTTTTAACAGTCTTACCATCAGGTGAGTTTTCTTTTACCATGACTGTTGAGTGACTTTTTATGGGGAGATATAGGCAAATGTCTGTTTACCCTCAGAAGGGTACTGATGAATGACTAGAGAAATGATTCCACTCTACTCTGTCTCAGTGAGCCGATGAGATATGAGGTTATAAGAGAATTGGTGATGGATTACTTACAGGAGTGTAGATGGCATGGAGATAACTACATCACCAAAAAGTCCATTCTTGCATGACTGTTGACTCACAAAGACTATATCAGTGGAGTTCTCTGTACAACTGCCAGAGAGTATGACCCTTGAATAGTCTCTTCCAGCAATTGTTACTGTTTCCATAACTGTAGGGAGGGTTCTTATGTATGTTTTTGGTTTCAGGAGTTTCCTGAGTCTCTTATGTTTTGTTACTTTCTAAGTCTTTGAAGCTCCATCCATCCTCCTACAGATTTTAAATTCAGAGAGAATAACTATGCAACAACTATCCTTCATATGTATACCAGAGAGTGGCTGTACTATTATATCTATCCATATTTACATAGGGATAGTATAATACACAGAACCATTTGCACACCAGATTAATTTTCCTTCTTCAATTAAGACTCTGAGAAGTTGTTGGTATATATTTAGATGAAAAAAACTGTACTTGTTGAGAAAATTTTTCTTGTCTATTTAGGACTGAGTCAAATTCATTCTATCTATTGTTTTCATTTGAGGACAGAACGATCTACTTTTTTCATTCTGTAGATTGATTGGTTATATAAGAGCCAGATGGATATTTCAATTCATAGTGTAATTTGTTAGTCCACAGTTTGACATTGTGTTCCTACTGAGGCTACTTTCAAAGATAGAAGTTGTTGCTCCCCTCTCTTTCTCTGTTTCTTTCTCTCATTATTTTTACTATTTCTTTCATCCTTCCTTCATCTTTTTGAACCAAGGTCCCATATAGCCCAGGGTGGCTTCAAACTTGCTGTGTAAGCAAGGCTAACTTGAACTTCTGATCATTATGCCTCTATCGCCCAGGTGCTGGGACTAAGATGTGTATACTCAGGAAGAAGTTAATGAAGGCCAAAGATTGTTTTTCTCGATAATCTGTATCTGTTGTAGGGACTCTTTTGTTCTGGACCTTCACCAAAGCAGAAAGTCTTCAAAATTACTGGGTAAATGATCAGAAAAACATGTCCAAACGAGGCACATATTACATTTAACATTAAAAGAAGTCCAAGTAGCTTTCTTTGATAATGGGAGAGGCACATATGCAGCAGCTTGTCCTTTGTTTTGGAAAGGATATCTTGACTCGTTCTAGGTCACTGAATCATCAGAAATTTAATGAACTTCTTGTTCCTGAGTTTTTGTGGAAATTATAACCTAGGTTTTGTTTACAATGTGTATAAAAAGTTTTGACTATGTCTGCTATGAGTTCATCCTACCAATCAGCTAAATGCTGTAAATAAAACAATACAACCCTGAGGTAGAATACTGCCAATACAATGATGGCTTAGAAAGTAGAAAGTTAGCTGCTTACAATGGACTTTATTAACAAGTACAGAACAAAAAAAGTTGTCAGATCATGGGTCCTTACCATATGTTGATTTCTTCTCATAACAAGATTACATCTGAAAGAGAAATTGGAGTTGGAATCACCATCTGGTTAAATTTATGAAATCTACTGTTCCCCAAAATCCATCTGTCTTCCTTGTAGGCCAAAGATATAAATTACATAGAGTGAGTAGGAACCACTTCCATTGTAATTTTCAAGGTTTCACTAATAGCAATGACCTCTTCAGCACCTCCAGAATAGTGTTTCCTGTGGTTTACTATTTAGACAAAACTAATGTGTTCTTCATAGCCATTCCTCACATAATGACCTTTACTTCATAAGGCAGGAAACCGTGTTGGAATTCTGCCAGTTCTTTTCCACATTTGTTCCAATCACATCCTAGGCCCTAGGAAATTACCCAAAGGGTAAACTTGGGGATTCAGATATAGTCTGTGGGATAGATCCCAAGTCAAACTGCAATGACCTCAGACTTCCTTTAACTACCATCAATGGTTTACCATGTACTGTCTCAAAATTTCTTTACCGTTTTCAGCAATCTCCCAAAAGCTTGATTATTTCCATTTTGGAAATATACAGTTACTGTGATAATAATTAGATTTAGGTCTGTAGCCTAGTTCATATCTGTAAATCTGTTCAGGAGCAATTCCTCAGTTGTGATAGTTTTAATGTATGCTTCCCTTGACTAGAATCAGAGCTCTTCTTTCTGCGTAGACTGAGAAGAACTTTATAGGTTGATGCTCCACATCAGTTTCAGAGACACCATGATCAGCTACCTGACTACAAATCTTGCTTCTAAGCTGTGTGGTTACAGAATTTGGATGAGTACCTTATTTTAGGCATTTTGCATTAATTTCAGGCTCAGTGCATAAAGATGATAAAAACAAAACACAAACAATGTGAAACAAAACGCAAAAGATAGACATCCAGGAAGAACAAGTCAAACCAATGTGGATGAGTCTGAGTACACGCAGTGGCCCACCATGCGTAGTGAAGGTCCCAGTTTTACTGGTGTTGTAAACTGTTGTAGACAGTAACAGATAATATTGCTGTAATCCTGATTGCTCTTCAGCTGCTGCTGAAGATTTGTTGACAGAGAAAGGATGCAAAAGAACTGAGAATCTAAATTAGCCTTTGTTACTGATACTGATACGAATGAAAGAAGAAAGAAGTGAATTTCAGCTGTGGGTTAAAATTTCTCTCATGACCTACACTATAAGAAAATACATAGACGTTAAAGCAAAAAGTGTATCAGACCATATTAAACAGGTGGAGAATGATTTTTTAAGGTTACTGTTATAGAAGAGAAGAGAATTATAAGAACACAATCTGCGTTCAGTTGCACTAAAGCAAATGATAGAATAGTTTTTCAAAGTTCTCTCTCTTTCTGTGTGTGTGTGTGTGTGTGTGTGTGTGTGTGTGTGTGTGTGTTTGGTGGGAGTTGGTTGACCATTTATATTTCTTATTTGACCTTACTTAAATGAATGGGAAAACTTTTACCTGTATTTAAGGACTAGGTTTATAACTAAGATCATGATGGCCATAAATGTTAGACTACTTCATTCTCACAGTGATGGGAGATGAGAGTTCTATTTCTCTTGATGATTGCATATGCAAAGAAAAACTTCCAAGTTCTTAAGAAAGGTAGTCCTTAAAACCTGGATGATGAAAGAATACAGAACAACCAGGTTGTTTTGTTGTCATTTTGTTTTTTGTGTTTTTTTTGTTGTTGTTGTTTGTTTTGCTGAGACAGGATTTCTCTTTGTAGCCCTGGCTGTTCTAGAACTCATTCTTTACACCAGGCCAGCCTTGAACTCACAGAGGTCCATTTGCCTCTGCCTCTCTGAGTGCAGGGATTAAAGGTGTACCCCACTGCTGCCTGGACAGAATTTTTTTAATTGAATATAATTTCTTCATTGATTCTTTGGAAATTTCACATCATGCTCTCTAATTCCACTCACCTCCCTCTCCTCCCATAACCTCCCTCTCCTCCCATATCCTCACCTCACCCCTGTAATGTCCCCCAAAAGAAAACTTAAAAATACCCAAACCAAATGAAACCAAACCAAAACCAAACAAGCAAAACAAATAAACAGAACTTAAACAAAAGCCCTTTTGCTTCTTCATCTTTCCTGCCTCCCCCACACCTCTTCATTCATCCTGGTGGCAATAGGAGCCTTGGTGTGTCACACAGTATACCCTTTTGTCCAACCAGATTTACTTACAAATGTCCATTACAGTGGGTCTGGCTCAAGGTCTCTGGTTTCTGATACACCATCATTACTGGATCCTCACGGAAACTCCTCTCACATATCCTTCTGCCAGCTGCTGCTAGTCATGGAGATCCTGCACTTATCATTCCACACTATCAGTCCTTTCACCAGTTCCAGCAGGTCCTAGATGGGGTAGATGTCAGGGTGGGCCAACCCAAAGCATGGATGTAGGCCTGGGTAGTAGCTGAGCTGGTCAGTTCATAGCACTAGGTCTGTGTCCTCAGGTGAAGGCTAGAGACATCTCCCCTATGCCCATGACATCAAGTCATTTCCTTTGCCAGTGGTGACAGGTGGGGACATCTCTCTCCAGTGATGGTTGACACCATCTCTCTTGCTGCAGTGTCCATTGAGGGGCAGGACCAACCTTCCCAGATGCCAATGAAGGGTGGGGTGGTGGTTTAGCATGGCCTTCTGATGTCATAATGCATGATTCCTATGGTCCCCTTAGGGACCCAGCTGCAGGAAGACAACTGACCCAGTCATGGTCCTAGACAGCAGCTGGAGCCTAATATCATGACTCTAGGTAGAAGCAGAGGCCACTCAGATCAGGACAGCTCTGGTGGCAGCTTGGCCTCCAGACACCAACAAGGTCACAGGTTGCAGCCCTGATACTGGGCTTCCCTGTGACCTTAGGTGGCAACAGAGATCCCAGCTGCAGTAGGATCATGGACCCAGACATGGTCCATGGCAGCATCCAGGAAGTCTAGATGCAGGACAACCAGTTTTATACAGTAAATAAATATTTTTTAAACGTTTTATATTTATTATTTATGTATTCTGTGTGTGTGTGTGTGTGTGTGTGTGTGTGTGTGTGTGTGTGTGTGTGTATTATCATGGACATGTGGAGGTCAGAGGACTACTTGAGGGAGTCTGTACTTTCTTTCCATCAAGCAGATTCTGAGGTTCTAACTCAGATCCTCAGGCTTGCTGAGCCATCATAGCTGTCCCTAAAGTAAATATTTTTAAGAAAAGAGAAGTCAGGGTCCAACTAGGATGGAGCTTGTCTGAAATTTCATTTGAATGTCAGACCATCTTTTTCTTAGGAAAAGGAATTCTAATAAATGTAATTTTACTTTAGGGAAGGTGAAACATCACAAACCTATTTTCCAACCTAAACTGATGGTATGATGCTTTATTATTTTTTGTAAGAGATTTGATTCATCTAGGAAATAAGACAAAGTATGACAGTATCAATTTTCTGTCATGAAATAGTCATTGTACACTAAACAGTCATTTTGATATAACATTATGTTCCAGATAATTTCTGAAGAGGCATACAAGGGATGAGAAGCAGGGACATAGGAGTGGTTGGAGGGATAAAGAAAGGGAAAGGAGAAGTGATATAATAAGATTTAAATTATAATTTAAAAATTGTAGTAATAAATAAATAAATAAATAAAATGCATTTGGATCCAAATAAAGAGTCCTCAATAAAATAAATAAAAATGGCTAAGAAGTATTTAAAGATTCATTGACCACACTAAGGGTATAGAGGTTGAGATAAGGCATGTCTTGCTTTATATTATATTTATTCATTTATTTGTGTGTGTGTATGTGTATGCAAATATACACACACCTGTATGTTGCCATGGCACATGTGTAAGGTTGAAGGATTACTTCAGTCAGTTCTCTCCCTGTGAGATCAAGCTTAGGCTATCAAACTCAGCTGCAAGTGTCATCGCCGCTGAACCATCTCGCTTTCCCAGATGTGTCTTACTTTGTAAACAAGATTTTCTCATTCTTGACAACTTGCTATTTGACTGGCAAGTTTAATTTTATTTTCCTGCAGGGCTCATTCTTTTAAAGAATGATTAAGATTAATTTGAATCCCAGAGTGCGCAGGCCAGCACTCTCCTCTTGTCGTCTGTGCTTAGGATGCACAACTGTTTCCATAAAGACAAAGGTTCTAAAAGCTTTTCCTCATCATTTCTGATTCCCTTTCAAGCCATGATTCATTTTCAGCCAGGGAGGTGGTCATAGGGGAGACAAAGAATCTGGATGCATCGTCAGCTTCTGTGTTCAGACAGTCAATGACTTTTGATGAGGATTTTCCAATTTTATGGTGGTGGGAAAATGGTAAATATTCAGTAGAAACTGAATCCTGAGTTTAGAATTGTCATTAAACAAAACAACAAAACAAAGCAAAACCAGACCCAGTCTGCTGCTTTGTACAGTTCTGCAGAGTGACAGTGAGCCTTGGCTGCCAGGAAAGCATTGTCCATATCCTGCTGAATGCTGTGGTAGCTAAGGCAGGATATTCGGTAGGTTATGTGTATTAACTGAATTGTTGATTTAAGAATATTTTGAATTGATGGAAGGCTTATCTTATCAAGACACAACTCCATTGGTAATGAGCAAGCATGTGTGCTCAGCATGGGATTCAGAGGCTGGTCCCCAGCTGCGTTGGATTCAGTTGCTTTGAAAGTTATGGTGGGCTTTTGAGAATGTCAGCTTGTAATAAACCGCTGGATACGTATCAAGTCAAGCTAAAGAATGAATAAACGAGACAAGCAATAATAATGTGGACAGCCTTATGGGCTTTTTTTGATAGAGTTCACTGGCAGGGTGAAACCTCTCCTACAATCATAATTAATCCAAATGGAGACTAACAGATTGGCACTGGAAGTGCTCGCTGTACCGTCATGATTTCCTCATGGAGGACTGGGCCTGCAGGCTGAGCCAGATGACTGGGACAATAGCATCTAGTTGCACTGACTCATTCTGACACATGAAGGGCAAGGGAGGTGTGTTCACGTGTGGTTGTGGTTGTCACAGTTGTGCCAGCTTTGTCAAGACAGTGCAGCAGCTTTTCCAGCTCAGAGTTCAGGTTTGCATGAACACAGGCACATTTCCTCTTGATACAATTTCTCTCCACTAACAGGATGTCTATTTTTGTAGAGATATGAAAGGACATATGGTTACTGGAAGCAGGAAGCCCTCATGGGATAAACACTTTGAGAACACAACCCTCTTGTTCGGTGTTCATCATCTCTCTTAGGGAATGCCTTGAAGGAATCCCAGAATTCATCTGAGCTCCCAGAACCTCACTGAGTAATCTGCACAGCTTTGTCTGTCAGCCCTGATCAGACCAACCAGAGGGGTGACTCCTCACTAGTCCTTAAGTCTTTGTTCTAGGAACAGGTCTTCCTGGATGTAGTTGGGTTCTTAAGTTGTTCTGGTTTTCCATGCCTCTTGTATTATCAGAAACTGTGAGCACTAATTTTGTTGGTATAGATGAGAAATATGAGGATATAAGGACATAGTTTTCAGTCTGTCTAAATAAAATGAACAAAAAATGATACTTCATATATTAGTGTTTCTTAAGAAACTAGTATATGATTCCATTGCTGTGATTTTCAGGTATAAATGTCTAACTTATTCTAGGTTCTTTGATCCAATGTTACATACATAAGGAAAATTTTCATATAATGAATTTACATTTTGTCAATTAAAATTTTTATTCTTCCCTGACACAATATATCTAGATCATAACCTCCTCTGCCCCCACTCCTCCCATTTCCACCTTCTCCCCCAGGTCCACTGTCCCTCCCTTTCCCTTTATAAAAGAGAGACCTCCCAGGGATATCACCCACCAACTGACTGTGACATAAGAAGGTACAATAAGATTAGACACAAACCCATATATCAAGGCTGGATGAGGCAGCCCAAGAGGAAGAAAGGATACCAAGAGCAGGCAGAAGCAATAGACATTCCTATTCCTTCTTTTAGGAGTCCAACAAAAACTCCAAGCTAAAAATCACAGTATGTATGCAGAGGAACTAGCACAGATCCATCCAGGTTCCATGACTGCTATGTCTCCGTGAGCTCCTATAAGCCCTGTTTAGTTGATTCTGTGGGTTACGTTCTGTTGTTCTCCACCCCTACAATCCTTCTCCCTCTTCTGTGGAGTTCCACTGGCTTCACCTAATACATCTGCTCTCATTAGGTGATGGAGGAAGCCTGTCTGAATATCAATGGGCTAGGCATTGATCAATGGGTATAGCAGAATATTGTTAGGAGTAATTTCTTTGACATTTTTAAGGTCAGTTGTGTTTGGTTCTACCCTACGTCTCTAAGCAGTTCAGCTTCTGGATCCTGGCATCCACTCTGTGCTGACATGGACTTCCTCTCATGGTGGCATGGGCCTCAAGTTAGCACGTCTTTGGTATGCCACTCCCATAGATTCTGAGCAACCATTGCCCCAGTGTATCTTGTAGGCAGGACATGTGTGGTTTGAAGGTTTTGTGGTTGGGTTGATGTCTAGGTCCCACCAAGAAAGGAAGCCTTTTCTGACTACAGAAGATGGCTGGTTCATGATCCACATCTTCCTTTACTAGGATTCCACTTTAGGCTCATCCTTATAGGCTGCAGACAGTTTCCACTCCATTAGGTTTCCAGGTGTCTCTCCCTATATACTCTCCCTCTGCCCTTTCCTCCCCCACCTGATCCCTCCTGTTTCCATACCCACCCACACCCAGTTCACCCACAAAATATATTGTATTTCCTCTTCCCAGAGAGACTTTTGAGCCCCGCTAGAGCCCTCCTTGTTTTTTAGTCTCTCTGGGTCTGTGGATTGCAGCATAGTTACCCATTACTTTACAGCTACTGCACACTTAATTGTGAGTACATATCATGTTTGTCTTTCTGAGTCTGGGTTACCTAACTCAGGGTGATTTTTTTTTAGTTCCATTCATTTGCCTGCAAGTTTCATGATGTCATTTTTTCTAACAGCTGAGTAATGCTTTATTGTAGAAATGTACCATATTTCGTTTATCCATTCTTCAGTGGAGGGACATCTAGGTAGATTTCAGTTTCTGGCTATTATGAGTAGAGCCGCTATGAGCATAGGTGTGCAAGAATACTTGTGGTAGGATGGAGTATCTTTGGATATATGCCCAAGAGTGATATGGGTGGGTCTTGCAGTAGATTGATTTACAATTTTCTGAGGACCCACCATAGTGATTTCCATAGTGGCTGTAAAGTTTGCACATCCACCAGCAATGGAGGAATGTTCTGCTTTGCTGCATGTCCTTGCCAGCATGAGTTGTCACTTGAGTTTTTGATCTTTGCCATTCTAACAGGTATAGGTGGAATCAAAACAAATTTGCCTTTGTTTTGATCTGCATTTCACTAATGGCTAAGAATATTGAACATTTCTTTATCTTCTGCTCTTTCTTTCTTTCTCTCTTTTTTTGTTTTGTTTGTGGAGACGGTTTCTTTTTTATTTTAATTTTAAATAGCTTGCTTCACATGTCAATCCCAGTTTCCTCTCCCTCCCCTCCTCCTGTACCACCTACCATCTCCCCCCAGCCTCCCACCCTTTGGCCATTTCCTTCCACATAGGGACAGCTGGGAAGCCAGCATGGGACTGATCTAGACCC